CATGGCTGGCTAGGGAATTCTGGGAGCTGAAGTCCACAGGTCTTAAAGTGGCCAAGGTTGAGAAACACTGTTACAGTATAAATAGATGGAGAATAAAATCAGCAATTTTCATTTAATTTTGGGTTTCCTCAGGGTTAGGGTTAGGGTTAGAGAGAGGGAGAGGCCCAGCACTCCCGACGCCAGTCTGGGGGGAACCGAACTACAAGTTCCTGCCGCCCCGCCAAGATGGGAGGGGTAGTTCCACAGGCAGGGACCGCACGTGCGAGAGAACGCGGAGCTCCGGGACACCGGAAGCTCTAGGAGGCGACTTCCGATGTGTGCGTGGCACAGAGATAGCCAAATATAGAACGACTCATGGGCTGCCTGTTAGCCAGGAAACGCGATGAGTGTTTGTTCACCGTGTTGAATTATGCCAGGAGATCTATGGCTTTGTCTCAGGAGGGCAGCTTTTGGCTGGCAGCCTTTCTCTTCCCAGGCTACGAACAAATGTCGCCCTGACACGGAAAGGACGGCGACTCTTATTTTTCCTATCTCTGCTCTTCGGCAGTTGAGTATTATAGAGATGGCGGGCTAGAACGGCACTCCTGCCCTCCCTGGCCGACGCGGGCTTGGCTCGTGGCGACGCTTTATTCCCCGGAAGTGACGCCTCGTCAGCTTAAAAGCGTCCTTGGGGTGGAGCGGAAGGACCGGAAGCTGAAGGGCCGCGGCGCCGTAGCCTTAGCAACGCCGGCGAGCGTCTCCTGTCAGAGCCCGCCGCTATGGCGGAGACGGCAGCGGCTTTAACGCCCACCCCGACACCGGTCACAACGCCGGTAGGCCGGCCGACCAGCGGCCCCAGCCCCGCCCGCGTCTACAGCCTGCGCCCGGCCTTCCACCACAGGTCAGCCCGCCGCCCCATCATCCGCAGCCGCCACGGCCTGGGAGGGAGCGAGGTGCGCGCGTAGTTTCCCTCCTTCCCCGCCGTCCTCATGGGGCAGCGCCGTCCTTTGGTCCCACAACAGCCCTTCAGGGTAGGCCGGCGCGGGGCATTATGGGAGCCCAGGGCCGGCCTTGCACCCGGGGCGTCTCGTTCCCATCCCACAGCGCTGCCTTCCCTTCCCGCAGCGCCGGCCCGCCTATCAGACCCCCCCCGGGGGGGG